TATATATATATATATTCCTTATTTAGGCCTTCCTTGCAAAAGTTTTTAAAAAGCTTTATGTTACCACATTTATTTACACTTTGAGTCATGCACAAATCATGACATTTAATGTAATAATTTATCTTTAAGCATTTTAGTATATTGATAATAAAAATGGTCATGGCTAGAAACATCCATCATGTACATATTTTTCATTATTGAGTTAATCTTTGCAAAAAAAAAAAAACAATAATCCTGTCTTAGCAACCATTAGGAACAACAATGTGAGGAATATAAACTAACACTGAAAGTGTTTTAAAGGATCACCTGCATAATAGGTTTGAATAAAGTCCATAATGCGGTTAGGTAAACCTCAAAATAATGTGTTCAAATTCAAAGTCTTGTGTCATAAACACTATTTTTCTCCCACAGGATGTCCAGCAGACTCTAACGGGAAGAAATCTGAAGAAAACATTTTACCTCATTCTCACATCATCACACCTCGAGAAGTAACCAGTGGCTTCAGAGGAGGAAGCTTGTCTCCCAGAAACACCTTCCAGCTCAATGGTCAGCACTTCAATCAACCTTTTTGAATTCTGTCAGCGTGTATGTCCTAATCTACTAACCCAAATTAACTTCACTTTTATTAGGCCAGTCCACTCGCCTGTCAGTACTTGTGTGCAGTTTGCACAATAGAAGGCTTTAGAATTAGAGCCTGTCATTTGATTGTTTGCTGTGCTGCTGCTTTGCTGCTTTGATCAGCTCAACCAGATACATTTCACCTTCATTCTGCTGGCTGCACCAACGATCCACTCAATTTTCAAGCTAATTGAGCTTGCAGAGGCATCTCTTGTGGTTAGCCACAGCCCTTTTTTTTTTTTTTTTTTCACGCGTGTGAGCGCAAGCATTAGTCCTATAAGGCACACAAACACACACACTGGGGAAACCAATTTTTTCCTCAATTAAGCAAGCCATCATCAGTTAACTGGTGCATTAATGGTAAACTTGCCTCAAATTTCGACTGTGGCTGAGACACACACACACACACACACACACACATACAGATAACATAATGGTTAAGTGTAATACAGAATACATTTGACATGTATAGAACTACAAACTAGGTCATATAAATGATCTCATTGTAATAGCATTTTTACTTCCACTCGGTTTACCATGCCACTGATACGTAGATTAGCATTTGGAATGCAGCAAACACTGTGTTTAAAATATGTTTACAAATTATTCATGGACAGTTTCACCTCACAAGTTCTTTACACATTGGTACAATCAGTCATTCACAGCTCCTGTTACTGTGCAACCACAGTCTATTTGCTGTTTGTTACATATATCACTCTCTTTCTCGGGACCATGACCTCCCCACTTCTTGGCTCTTTTACACTCTTTACTCTTTCTCCCCCACTTCCGCTCTACTTCACCTCCCCGTGCAATTTCAACTTCCAGTGTACCTAATTGCTTTCACTGGAGTCCAGACACAACAGTGAGACACAGTGAGCAGAAAAGCTTCTCTGGGCGGTGTGTTTGTGTGTTCGTGTTGTGTCTGTGCACACTGTCACACTCCTGGCCCACTTCTGCCTGCCTGTGGCTGTGAAGGATGTGGTGTAGCCAGACACTATCAGGTTAGCGCAGTGGCAGTAAACCTGATATCTCCTTGATAATGAGACTTGGGGAAAAATGTGCAGGGCAAAGAGCCATAGCAGAAGTGGGGGAAAACAAAGAATGTAGAGCAAATATCAGAGTGATTAATAGATTTCATGTGAAGAAATACATTTTAAAATACACTCAAGTGGGTGAACGATCCCAGTGTTGCGTATTTGATAGTTTAAGCCAATAATGAGTGTTTTTGTCATTCACCTATGTTGTTAAATTGGTCTCTAATGAAAAATATGGATCTTTCGTCTACATGTTGAAGTGTCCTTGGGCAAGGCACTGACCCTTAGTATGCTTAGATCTATTATTTAGTGGGTGACTCGTGCTATACAAGAGAGATTTATAAATAAAAGAAGATGAATGTGACGTAGTGAGAATTCCAAAGAATGGAATTAAAACGGTTTGAAAAGCTCAAATGAGAAATAAATGCAGTACTTACATGACCTCTGATACTCTTCAACAGAGCCTGATCTTTCTTGAATGAACCTTTCTTCTGGCTTTATTTTATTTTGTAGTTTGAAAGTGTTTTCCAGACCGCTTAAGAGCTCTGCAAACAGAAAAATAGTTTTTACTCTTTTCTAGTTATTGAGATAAAATTAGTTTTTTTGTGTTTGTGTGTCATTGCAAAAGAAAAAGAAAATTGTGTAAAACAACATGCAGAATAAATAACTGCAAGTGAATCATTTACAATTCTTACGCTTTTGAATCGTTGAAAGGGAGTTCTGTTACTGGGAATTTCACATCAGGCTACAAGGAAGCTGCAGGGCACGGTGCGGGGTAGTCAGATACTGCACACACCTGTGTGGAAACATCCAAACCCAAATTCTGATGTTGCACACATTTAGCTCCCATGACTGATGGAAAATGTGGTATTTACAAACAATCATTACATTAAGACTAATGGATAGGGAGACCAATTTATCAGCCCCGATTTCCTTAATTTTGGGAGATTGGAGATCGACCAGTACTTACATGAGAAACCGATTTTACCGATTTTTTTTTGTAGTTTATCAATTGTCTAAACTTCATTTATATTTCAAAGCACTATCTCATGGCCAGTTAAAACAAGTTTGTATTGTTTCTAGGATATTGTTAAAGGGCATGTTTTTCAATAACATAAGATTGTAAAATTGAAGGTGCATTGTGAACTTATAACACCCGACAGTGACGCTTATAAAACAAAATCGGAATCGGCAGGTCAGACTTTTTAGAGATCGGTGATTGAACAGAAAACTGCAATTGGTGCACCCCTACTAATGGACATTTAAACAAGAACAAAAAAAAGGCTTTACGCATATTTTGTTTCAAATTGCCCAACTAATTGTTCACATTGGGTTTTTTTTTTTCCCCAAATATTGTTTTAAACTAGCAATTCCAAAGTCCTCCATTTGGTTTTTCACAACCTTTCCAGCTAGCCTGGCATTCTGAACCAACTTATTAGAACATATCAAACTTGTTTTTGTATGTTCAGATGGTTGGAATGTTTTCTATAGTTTCACTTGAAAATGTCATGTTAAAACAGCTTGTGAAAATGGAGTAAATCTCAAAGAAAACAAACCAACATTACTTCTTCACATTGATTTAGTCCACTGCAGATAGGCCAAAACAAAGAAACACACATGCACTTGGTGGACACACATTCTCCATGCTGCTTAAAAGAATCTGCTGGAAAACAACAAGCAAATACAGAAACATTTAAAGTTGTACAAGTTGTACAGAGCCTAACAGAATTGGGTTAATGCACAAGAGGGAACTATGGAAATTTGATGAGTACTTGAGGAATTAGAAAAGGGCTAATGTCTGCTGGATAGCAAACAGAAGAAAGCTTTAAAAAAGGCCATCTCACATATTGCTCTACCAAAATCTTTTATTTCCTCCCTAATCCCTATCTCTCTTCTCTATTTACTGATTTACTTTTTTTTCTGTTTTCTGCTCATTTCTACTTTTGATTTATAGATGCTTTCAGTAACTCCTGGTTAATTTCCCCATTGCTGCAAAATAAATTCAGTCATGTTGCTACAACATGGGAAAGGTGTTTTTATAGATAATTTCAACTGGTAACACATAATACAGCCTGATACATATCTGGCACATACTGGGCTGTATTGTGTAATGTATTATGTATGTTTTGCTACATTCCAGTTCTGTTTTGTGTTGTTTCGAGAATATTATTGGTCTAATATTTTTATCTGGACTTTAACAATTGATTGTTTCCTGATCCTGTGACTAGATTGAGAATTAGATACATTAATCATGTATTTTGTTTGATGGATGTAACGTCTGACCATGATGGTGAAAAATAGTCTGAGAGGAATTACTTTTTTTTCTCAGCAGTAGGGCTTTGGCCCAGTTTAAATTATGCTGATTGTTAGACTGAACTGTTTTCATGAACAATCTGTTCTTTCTTTTAGTGCTGGAATAATACTGAAAATTACGAATGCCTCGTTCTCTCACTTGGACAGTTGGAAGGTTTTAGAACATGTGGTTAAAATGGCAGACAGATTATATTCCATTTTGCTCAGTGAATAAGTTCATCCCTGTAGCCCGTTTCTACTTCACAGCCAGGAACACTGCACAAGCACACAGGCTGGAGAAAGGCGAGGATCGCATGCTGTTATACAGCCGGAACCGAGCCGACGCCAGAATGCTAGAACAACGGAACCTAAAGGATACTGACGTCGAGCGCCGGAAGCTGGACTGCATGGCTGCCGTGCATCAACGGGAAGCCAAGGAAAATTCTGAAGCAGCTGAAATGATGGTGAGCTCAGACATTTAGATGAAAATGGTAAACTGTAAAAGGTTTGTAAGCTCAATCATCCAGATAGAAAACAACAAAAAAGGTTAAATCATGTCATATGGATCAGTTTCTTTAAGTGAGAAACATTTCATCCCCCATCCAGAGGACTTCCTCAGTCTATGGCCTGCCAACCAGATCTGTCCCATAGGTAGCCTTCACTTCTGTGTTTCAAGCCAACCTCTTGTTGGAATCGCAGAAGCAGACTTTTAACACATGCAAAATACCCATCCAAAACAATCAATCATCGTGTACAACAATAAAATGTTTTAGGCCAGATGGCAAACTTGCCATTTAAACTGGTCCAGATGACATGATTTAATCTTTTTTGTTGGTAAACTATAAAGTTTGTTTAAATTGTAGCAGCTTGTGAGTTTTCTTCAAAGAAAGACTTCACCATCGAACATTTGACTTTCTAAGTCCCAAATGTTCAAAGTGTCTAGAGAAAACCCACCACTATTCAAATTCTCAAGGTAAAGTGCCCTTTAATCATCTGCACTGCACACACACGTAATAATTGTTCTTCTATGTCAAAGATGCTTGCTCTCTCACCTTTGGGCCACATGCTAAATGTCATTTTGACAGAGGTGCTCACGTGTCAGACATTTTACGACATGCTTTTCTTCTGAGAAGACCAGTGTTCAACTTGTTCCACAGCTGTGTAACAGCCAATGGGATAAAACTTCTCCCTGAGAAACAAGACTGTCTGTGTATCTCTAAAAATCAGTTAAGCTTCTTTTTTCGTTTGGATTGATAACCAAAACTTTTGTCGGACCAGGTTCAAGTTCATCAGTTTCACTAGGGCTAGACTTGTTAAAAACCTCAGTAATATATCACGAAAAGGTTAAATCATGTACAAAAATTAGGGCAAAATTTAAGTATAAAAACATATATTAGTGAGAAAAAGAATAAGTAGGTTCAATCATGCAAGTAAATAAATCACAAAATCATCATATCATCTGGACAGTTTATTTTTGGAAGAAAATAATTTTTCTTTCATCCAAAAGACTTCATCAGTCTGAGGCCTGCCAACAGGATCTGTCGTATTACGTAGCACCTTGTTGACATGTTTCAAACCAGTCTGCTGTTGAGTTCTCAGGCAGCATTGCTTTACACATTCAAAATGGAGTCTAAAACAATCAGTCAATGCATAATAATCAAATCTTATAGGCAAAATGGCCACTTACTACTCACCGAACCAGCCTGAGGACAACCTGACCAAAATAATCACAGTAATGAAACACATCAGTAAGGTGCTATTTATATGACAGACCTTGTTGGCAGGCCTCAGACTGATGAAGTCTTTCGGATGAAAGAAGAAACGTTTTCTTCCAAAAACAACCTGTCCAGATGACATGATTTAACTTTTTTGTGATTTATTTACCTGTATTATTGAGCCCACTTGCTCTTTTTCTCACTAATATATGTTTTTATACTTGATTTTTGCTCTAATTTTTACTTTACATTTAAAGTTTTTCAATAAATCACAAGTATGATTTTGTTCATTATTACATTTATAATGATATGAGAATTTTAGTCCAACATATTATAAGAGAACTTTAGAATTTAAATTTGAATGTGTTCATTCATGTGCACTTGTAAATATATTTGTGACATATCCTGATGCATGCTCAATAATCCAGGTAGAAAAATCCAAAAAAGTTCAATCTGGTCCGGACCAGATTGAACTTTTTTGGATATTTGTGACATGTTTTTTGCATTAGTATATTAAAACACACTTGTTTTAAACATTGACGTCACAAACTCTTTGTGACAGTTTAAGAAAGCCCAGTATGAATAATCCCAAAACACTTGTTGTGAGTGTTGCCAAGTTGATTTAAACTTTGTTTCCATTCAATTTAGCTGAAAGAAATGCTGGTTTTAAAGGTTTTGAAAAGGTCATTTTCTTGATCACAGCACTTGACTGAAATGAAAAATCGGTTGCAAAAAGCCTGACCACTTCCAAAACAATCATTCAAACTACAGCATTTTCCATCTAAAGTGTGCAATCAGAGGAGAGGCAGCCATGTGTTAATGTATGCCTTGAAATAGTCACCAAAAGGTCATGGAGAAAATTATGATTTACTACAAACAGAGCTTCACTGTCTCCAGTTTGGTTATTGTTTCCATCAGTTATGATGACATTTTACTCTACAAGCTCATTAACTGAACATGCATCACTGAAAGCAAAGATCTGCTTCACCTCAAGAAAACTGTGCCCTTGATCAAAACCAAACAAAGTTGTTCAAAAGCTGTGATGGGGTTTACAGTGAGGACCTTTTGGTTGATGATTTTATAATGTGTGCATTTCTCAGCTTTTGACATTCTATGTTGGTGTTAGGGTCACACAATGGACGTCCAGTTGACCAGAGAGCATCAAGCCAGATCCAGCAAAGCAAACGGCAAGGCAGAGGGAATCACCAACATGCTGAGCCAGGCCATCACCACGCAGCACCTCCTCTATGCCAGCCTGGGCTCTGCTGAATACATGGAGTTTGTCCTTAAAAATCCTTTCAATGTGCATCAGTCGGTCACTATTCTTAGTGATGACTCAGAGCTCAGGTAAGATTGTCCAGATATAGTCCAAAGTTATGCATGAGCTTCCAGGAACTCTTTCCTGTGTTAAAGTATTGTACCTTTGACAAAGATAGAATCAGACACGACTAATGTGAAACCATCCATCCAGCCATCATCTTAACCCGCTTCTTCCTTTTTGGGTCACGGGAGTCACTGGTGCCCATATCCAGCAGTCACTGTGCGAGAGGCGGATGACATACTGGACAGGTCTCCAGTCCATCACAGGGACACAGAGAGACAAACGAGACAAACGCCTAGTGACAATTTAGAGTCACTAATGTGAAACCCTGTTTCCAAAAAAAGGGTTACAATATTTGAAAAACATGATAATGGAAACCAATTATTTGCTTCGTGTGTTGTCTGTTGTTCTGTCTGTACAGCACTTTGGTTGGCCTTGTAGCTGTTTTAAGTGCTCTATAAATAAAATGGTATGGTATGATAATTACCACATATTTTTTAATATGACAAGCATCCTGACCCAAAATAAAACTGAAAATCTAGGATGGATGACCTACTCTTGTGTTATTCTAGCCAGAGGGTCCAATAACTTTTATAAAAGTCTTACAACTAAGTCAACAACTGCATTTGCAGTTTGACTAAGTCAGCATGGAATGGTCACATTTTGCCAGTGTTAAACTCCCTACACTGGCTTCCTGGGAAGTTTATAAATGTTTTGAAGAGCCTATCACCTATAGAGTTCCTAATGATTACACTTTGTTTATTTTATTAAACTTTATTTATCCAGGCAAATCCCATTGAGATCATGTTTTTTGTAAGGGAGGCTTGAGTCTGAAGGCAGCCCAACATGCATGCTTTGGGCTGTGGAAACAGAATGTGGAGAAAACCCACACTAACACAAGGTGAACTCTGCATAGGAAGACCCCAGTTCCAAACCGGGGATTGAACCCAGGACCTTCTTGCTGTGAGGCAACAGTGCTAACCACTAAGCTGTCATGCTCCAGCCTACATTAAATATTCAATTATTATTTTTTTTTTATTATTATCAGTCTTGATATCTCTGCTTTTAGAGTAGTTTAATTATTCCCAGGATTTACAAGTTCAGACTTTTGTATAACTTTGATATACAAATACAAAATAAAATGACTGGATAATTGATTTAAACCCAGTCAGCCAACATTACTACCTAATTGTTTGTTTCAATATTTAAGAGAAATGTTAAAGACCTCACTAAACTAAGGAAGGTTACTCATATCACCATTTATAGGGGCTGCAGTAGCTCGGTGGTCAGTTCTGCAGTCTCCTTATCTCTAGGCTGCCTGTTTGAGCCATAATATTAAGCATAGATTGTTATTTGTGTTTTTTTTTTTTTTTTTGAATTCTTACAGATTAACAGTTTACTGTTAGATTTGCAAATCCTCTAATAATAATATTACCTAAACTTAAATTTATGATGGTTAATATGTCAATTTGTTTAAGCATATGTGGACCTTAGGAGATATGACAGAAGAGATTTTTACATGTTTATATGTAAGTTGAGATTGTCATTTGTTATTTTGTTCTCGTCTTCCTTTGGTCTGTATGTTCAATAGTTCAATAAAGTAAAAAAAAAGGTTACTGTTTATTCATAACAGAGGCAGTACAGTGGTGCAACTGGCTGTCTCTCAGCGAGCAAGTTACCCTGGTTCAAATCCCAGTCCAGGGGCCTTTCTTGGTGGAGTTTGCATGTTCTCTCCGTGCATGTGTTTTTTTGGGGGGTACTCTGGTTTCCTTCCACAGACCAAAAACATGCATGTTAGCCTGACTGGTAACTCTAAATTGCCTCTAGATGTGAGTGAGAGTGAATAGTCGTTTTGTCTCTGTGTCCCTGTGATGGACTGGAGACCTGTCCAGGGTGTGTCCCCTGCCCACACAGTGATAGCTGTACATGGGCGCCAGTGACCCCTGCGACCTGAAAAGGAAGAAGCAGGTAAAGATAATGGATGGATATTAGCCAGATCACACTGTGGTAAATATTTTCCCATTAATATTTCTGAGTCACTCTATGCCAGTCTGTGTGACAAAAAAAAGAAAAAAAAAAAGAAAAGGCAATTAGCCTTAACAACAGTTAAACAGATTTTTTTTTTTTGTTTGTTTGTATTATTACACAACTGTTTATTTTTCTTCCTCAAACTTTTTCACATTTATAATGATTTTATTCAAACCTAGTAGAGGGATAATGTGTGTTAAATCTTTTAAACCAGATAGATATAGCAAATGTACTGGTTGGCCTCCAGTCTAACACAGGAGGTGTGAACATGTGTTTCTGTGCTGTATGTGTTTTCCATAATCAGATCATTACAGTCTATGCTGCACCACCAAGTTGTCTTCACACTTTTTGAATGCGTTTCCAATTGTGACGTTAAAGCTCAGGAACCTATTTTCACTCTTTCAGAGAATGACGTTGTGTCCTTACACTTGACTTGCTCATAAATTGAGAACATGGCTTTTAAAGTGACACCTGAACAATTCAGCACATTCCCACAAAATAAAATCACCCCCAGTTAAGGAATTGTGCCTACAACACTTGGCGAGGACAAGATTCTGTTATCGGAGCATCAAAGTACACTATAATGGTCATAGTCATTTTATAACAGTGTGTAAAAATATATTTCAGTTCTTACTAAGATGTGCAGATGTGATGATTCACGTTGTTTTAGCTGAATACACATACGCTGTTTGTATACAAATGAGACTGACATTTTTTAACAAAAGAACTATGATAATGTGAAACTGCCTGTGTAATTGTGCTGCATAAGAAAGGCAATAAAACAAAACAGCATGTGCAAAAAGCCACATTACTTTTTTCTACTGCTGCAAAATGTTTTTCAGGATAAAAGCTGTAATCAGCTTTACAACTAAAAATGTTCACAGTAAAGTTCTTGTGATAACATCTTATCAAACCAAGTTAATATTAGAATAAAAAATGTCAGGTCATAAAAAGTTACAGTAAATCTGTGCAGTGAAGCTACACATTATTGCTCTGAAAGTCAGAACTGTGTGAAATAAATTCCTTTTTGAAGTTAATCTGGAATGTTTTTCAAATATTTTTTTATGTAGTTTTCCTTAAAGGTTTTTATATGTTGTAACTGTAGCATTTAATATTTGACTCTGGTTTGGCAGAGAGAGATGACTACGATTTTTTAAACACATCCTGAAAGAGTCTAAACACATTTAAAATCACTTGATCACACAAAACAGATTTTCAGATTTACTAAAAACTCTGAGTTTTTGCAAAGAAAGTGTCTCACTTTGACAAGAATGCTCTTTCTGTGCACATTTATTCATTTTTTATGCCTTTAGGCTGTATTTGTCAAGGGACTTTGGACTGTGGGTAATTCCCTCAGGCATTGTCTGCTGAGTTGCAGACAGACAGAAAGTGTTCATCCAGGGCTCAAAACGCCTGCAAGGGAGCCGCGGTGCAGTTTAGGATTTGACAGCGAGACCCTCACAAAGTTAGCAGGTGTGTGCCTCAGATTCAACGAGGGTGGAGTTTAACAATTACGATTTATCTTCAGGTAAATCCATTCAAGCTCGTTGTTGTTAAACGGTGTTCATGAAAAAATGATATCTACTCAAGTGTTTTTTGTATTTTAACATATGATGTCTTTGTGTGGGTGGGCTCTTTGGAGCAACTACTTTTTTATCATTATAAAGGCAGTCAGTGTTTGTACACGTGAATGTTTCATTTTTAAGCATGTCTTACAAAGATATTCCTCCAAGTTTAAATGTGAAATGCACACAAACACATACAAATGTTTTACTACAAATTGAGACTATATAACTACTGAGGTTGTGGAAGTCAAATTAACAGCTTAGTCTTAGTTTTGACATTATATATGTGTAATTGTGTACTAACGTGGGGTGTCATGAAAGTATTTAAAACTGCATTGCTGTGGGAGAATTATTCCAGCAAGAAATACCAAAGAGCTGTCCTTGAGACAGATACATATTTAACTCTGATGATGTGTTAAAAAATCCTCTTTAATCCACACATAGCAGCCATTATGGTGGGTGTTTGCTGGATGACCCTTTCTTGGTATCCATGCATGTGCTTCCTTCATTTAACGTCATTGTTAATCCGCCTTTTCTAAATATTTTATTTTGGGTGCTGCTCATGCGCAAGCTTTGGATTAACTTACATCAAGTGATCAACAGAGGCTGCAATGCACCATGGATGAATCATTCTGGCATTAAACCGACCACTGGCCCTCTTTAATTGAGCCTCATCAGTTCTTATATCTGGCCTCTCACTGGCTTGGCATCCTCTTTTTTTTAATTTTTTGAAGAGAGAGTGTGACATTTTACACCACACCGTCTGTCACCTTTACCAGTTGCTTGAAACATGCAAATGGGAAACATCTGTTATGGTTGGAAATTTCTGTATTATTGGATGTGCTTTTGTTACAGCATGTGGGGTACTGGAGTCAATGCTCTTCAAACCTGGTACTAGTGTGTGTCCTGGGTGATCTGATCCCAATGGTATTTACAGATAAAACACTCAGAATGGAGTGATTCACATCTGATTGTTCAGGCCCTGTTCTCAGAGGTGCTCTGGGACACAAAGCAGTGCACGGATGGAGTATCTCCTTTGAAAACACATAAATAGCTTTTGTTTCACCTCTGAAAATTAGGGTTAAATCTGTTGATGGTGTGCCTTTCTTTTTAATGTGTGGCTTTTAACACACAGCGTTTATATTTACTAATCAAAATGGTGGGCACAGTCCAGATAGTCATACCCAGGTCTCCTGCAGCACATCCCTTTCTGCCATTCATTGATGGGTACATATATATTTTTACCTAATAGACTTTGTGATTACAATTCCAAGTAGATGAAATTCATTGCCTTTCTGTGCAGAGATTGGATGTTCTCCCAGTGTCTGCAAGAATTTTCTTTGAGCGCTCCGTCTTCCTCCCGCTATCTTAAAACATGCTTGTTAGGTTAATTGGTGACTTTAAACTGACTGTGTGTGTGTACGTGTGTGTGATGGACTGACTGACAGCCTGTCAAAGCGTGTGTGTTGCCTCTTGCTCAGTGCCACCTGAGATAGTCTGAATTTATTAGCTGAGATCAGTCTTTGAGGTGAGCGGACAGTTTTTTACGGCAGCCTCTGAGGGGCAGTAAACACGTCTACGTTACCTGTCTTGCACTACGTGAACTACAACATGGTCAGGTCTATGAAGCTGCTCTGTTGTTGCTTCCTCATCAATATTTTAGCCAGTGTTTGACAAGAAGGTTTCTTGAGAGCACAAAACAACCCTCTTGGATCGGACTTTTGTCTACAGAAGCAAACAAGAAAGAAAACTGACCTTAACTAGAATTCCAGCATGTCTTTGAGGACAGAGTCCTTAGTGACAGGCTAAGCTAGCTGTAGCTTTGATGATGGCAGTTGTTTCAAGCCCAGAGCCTCCTTGATGTAGAGGACATGTTTGCTGCTGTTGCTACTCATCTTGTAGGGATCCTTTTTACATTTGTCCTGACAAATGAGAACAATGAAACACTGATGGCTAACAGACTGTAGGTCTCCTCTGAGCTACACTCATGCTTTCCCTCTAGAGTTTTCTGTCTTTGTGCTTTTTTTCAGGACTTCTTTTTTTTTCTTTACTTTTCCTTTAGTCATTTTTACCTCGTACCTTGACTACCAGAAGTGGACAATAGTCCTTCTCACATTTATTCCTACTGCATTTTCTTTAAAAAATAATTAGAAAAATCAAAAAAAAAAAAAAATTTAAAGCAGACTTGAACATGAAACAGACAAAACACATTGTTTGTCTAAGCTAAAGCCTTTTTGCAAACTGTACAAAGGAAATATTCATAAATTTCATAGATGTGACTGCAGAATCTTTAACAATAAGGAGATAGGGTTCTTAAAAATAAAATTAACGTAAAAAACACATCTCATAAACCAACTGAGAGAAATACTCTTCTGCCCATGGCTTGGAACACTTGAAGTCTAAAGCGGTAGTTCTCTATAGGTATTTGTGTGAAAAAAACAACAAAAAAAACATTCAGTTTATTTATATAGCACCAAGTAACAACAGAAGTCGTCTCAGGGAACTGAACAGAAGCGTTCATATGTAAAAATAATAAGTTAACAAAAACATTCATATATAAAAATAATAATTTAACATTATTTATCTGAGGAGCAGACTACTTTGAATTTAACTCCATCACAGAACTCTCATCTTGAGCAAGCATGAAGGCGACAGTGGAAAGAAAAAACTCCCTCATGAGGAAGAAACCTTTAGCAGAACCAGACTCTGGACAAGCAGCCATCTGATTTGACCAGCTGGGTTTGAGAGGAACAGATACACAATGGCAGGTCAAGAATCACATGTTAAGATAGAAATGGTATTGTGACGACCCTGCAGTAATTTTCAAGTTAGCAATGTGTTCTCTTGTTTCAAATGTTCTGTTTACTGATTGTTATTGAAAATGCATTGTCTGTACGGAGTTTCAGACAAGTGTGTGATTGGAGGAGCGGAGCGGTGAGTGAGAGCTGGATGGAGGAGAAGTTGGTGCGGGAACTCTCAGGGGTGTGTGTGTGTGTATGCATGCATGTGCGTGTTCGAGAGTCTGAGAGTTCATTCTTGTACCAGCATGGTTGCAGCCGACAGTAACCATTTTTAAGTTAGCAATAAAGTAACGGTTATTCATGTCTTCCTCGACTATCATTCCAATACGTCCGGCTGGACGTCACAGTATCAAATGAAATCTATTCAACAGTTTTCAGTCAGGTCATCTGGACAGTTTCTTTTTTTGCTGAAACATTTCACCTTCCATCTGGAAGGCTTCATCAGTCAAGGAAACACACAACACAAGACTGATTCTTCCCCCAAACAGCTTACTCCAAAGTGGAACAAACCAGTTATGTTGGTGCTAAGATGGCGTCCTTGGCACGCCCCCTCCTCTGGTTCCGGCCCTCTTCCTCATTGACAGTCATGTCAAACTGGTTAAAAACCAAAAAAGTCCATGCTTAATAATCCAGGTATACAATCCAACAATTTTCAGTCAGGTCATCTGGACAGTTTCTTTTTTTGCTGAAACGTTTCAGCATTAGACTAGCTATGGTACTGAAAATGAACCTGGGGTTATTTTATTCTCATCATTTAAAGATGCATAATATAAAGTTCTAGCTTTAGGGAGTGCTTTTTTATACGTTAGCAGGCTATCTCTCCAAGATAAGTAAAATTCTTCAACATTAGTGGAGCGCCATTTTCTTTCCAGTTTTCTAGATGCTTATTTTAAAGTATGTAACTCAGAATTGAACCAAGGAGCCAGTCTCCTCTGATTGATTACTTTCTTTTTCATAGGAGCAGCTTTATCGAGTGAAGTTTGCAAAGAAGTTATAAATTTATTAACCACAAATGGAAAAAGAGAGACATGAAGCATTCCACACTTTTTTTTTTTTTTTTCCCCGAGTGGTACTGGTATATCTGTTTGGCTGTGGAATTTAGTTTTTCTATTATTTTCCATGCAGTAAATTATAATTGACATTCTGCTGGTCAAAACAAAAACCTAATACTTTGGTGTCGCCTCACAATTTCTAATCAAGGTTTGTGATACTCATATATTTTAAAGATGTGGACAGAATTTCCTCGGGGGGAGGGGGGTGTCCACAACTGATGAGTCCTGGCCTTTTGACACTTAACTTGGCCTTGGTTCAAAACTATGTAATCTAGTTTGAAGTTTAGATGGCAGAGAAAAGTATACTGCATGTAAAGTTCAAACAAAAAACAAACCCAGACTCTTGGTCACTATTTTTCTGTCAATTTCAATTTCTAGTTATTTTAGTTACAGTGTGGTAAGTGGGATTGAAAACTCTTTTGTTCTAACTTTTTTGTTTTGCAGAATTTAATCTGTATTATGTGACGGAAGAAACATAATCAAATGGTTTACTGTGACACCTGAACCAGGTGTTAACTTTAGCATTTGTGTCTGTTTAATTACCTATGGAAACGTCATCTGTCAAGCATTTATTTTGTTTCTTAATTCCTAATTTTTCATTTTTATGTCTTATAAATAAACTAGTAATTTACTATTTACTATTTTATTCTTCAAAATTATTGAATATCATTCCTCCTCTTCTCTGTTTTTGCTTATTTATCCTCCAATCCAGCAAGACTAGTCATACGGCACAAACAATTATTATATGCTACTAAGTCATGTAATAAAAACAGCAATATATATCACTTCGGCTTTCTTTTTGATCATGTAACAACTCAAGTTTTGATCCAGGATGGATTTTCTACAAATATGTAAAACGTAGCTTTGATCACTTTCATGTCCTTTAATCTTTTTCATCCAGTGTCATCACCGACACCGAGGAGTGGCGTCACTTCAAAGCACTAACCAAAACTCCTACCCCAGTGGAAGAGAACTTGTTTCATATAAAGGATGGTGCCGCAGGTCCTCAGGTTTACCTTCGGCCCAAAGAAACTGTCCACATTCCTCTGAAATACCAGAGCTTCATATGCAACCACACCTTGGCCATGCAGGTAAACAACAAACTGAAGAAAGACGTTTGACGAGCATTTAGGAGGCAGCATTTATTTAATGCATCTGTTAAAACCATGTGTGATTTGTGAATATTTCTTAAAGCAGCATTTTAAGTAAAAGTGCGTATGTGCTTATGTTAATTTGTTTTTATATCTAAAACCTTGAAGTGAATAAATGTGTTTTACTGTAGAAAACCATCATCACAACATTCCATCACCACTGAATACATTTTTTTTTTCAATTATTGAAATTCCAGAAAACTCTTTAAAATTCTGTGCCCTTGGTTGTTCTAAATTTATATTTGGTTATGAAAAATTCCTGGAAATAAAATGTTGCGTGGGCGTAAAGTTTATTTGTTTGAATGTCAGTACACTTCAAGGTTTACTAACCTCGGCTAATCTATTTCAAGGCAACTGAATCATTTTACTTTAATTTAGTTTCACAGATGCAGTTTAAAGAGATGGCAATTTTATTTGTTGTATTTTTTAATTTTATTAATTTTGTTTTGAACCTTCTCTGGACTGCTGGGGGATAGACACTATTTGGTTATTTTCTGCCTGTTATAATTTACAGTTTCGTTGCAGGGCATGCAGATATATGTGATATTTTATGGTGATACATTTTAATAACAGTTCTGTTTCTTATCAAATCGTCACAGGGACCAAGCTTCGTGCCTACAGGAAAAGGTTCTCGCACGGCCAAAAAGAATCTGTCCAATATTATTATTGCCAAAACCATCAAGGTACAGACTGTGTTACTACGCCTCATGCAAGCTTATTTTGGATATTGAACCATGTTTATCTGCATCTGCAGATTTGCTTTTTCATATTATATGTGCATGTTTTCTGCTTTCTGTGCTGTAAGCCCTTTTCAAAATTACATCTTGAATTATGTAAAGTTTGTATGCTCGTATGTTGCATAAGATCCTAATGGTTTTGGGAAAGGCATCTAAACTCAGACTACTGTATGGATTTTTTTATTTGAAGCTTAAATAAGGTTAACCTTCTCCTCCATCCTAAAGTCTAACATCTTGTTTACACACAAACTCCAGACAGTTCCCAGAGGAATGGTTGTGCACTCCTTCCACCTTCCTCTACTCTCACACTGACACATAAAGCTCCCTAAATTACCCACAAACTTACAAAAGGTGGACAAGACTGTTGAACAAAGTTATATGGTTGAAATATTTAGTTTTAATCATACTAACCATTCCTAAATATTATTATTTAATTAAAATTTTGGATTTCAAACATATAATAATTCAGACAAAAGATGCATAGCAACATGGTGATAATCAAACTAAATGGTTGAAATGGAGTAGGTTGAACCATATACTTATCTAATGCTACTCCTATTCTCTTTTATTTCCAAATATATTCATTTCAGTATGATTTATTTACAACAGTGCATTAATAAACCCTTAATCATTTTACCCTTTACAGTCTGTCCCAATCCCTTCCACATCTCTATAGCCTGAGAATATGTTGTTTTGCTTTATCTTTTTTAATTCCATCATCTAAACATTCCACAAAGTCCCACCACAAAACGAAATGCACATACTTTGAAATGCACGTAAATGGCTGTACTCATTCAGCTTTCATCTACTCACACACACATTCATTCATTCAACCTTTATTTATACAGGTTAATCCCATTGAGCATCGGGGACTCATTGCTCTCTAAATTATCTACAAACTTTATGGCCATGTACGGCCATAGCCTTTCATAAAAATACATTTTTCTTTTAGTTAATACTCATCTCCTCTATTCTTAAATATCTTCTGAATATTACCAGGAAGTGTTTATTTTTATTTTTACTTTATACACTATTTGAATAGTTCTAAACATAACTATATCTGTAAACTTAAGACATTTGGGCTTTATTAAATAATACAGTTGTGTGATCCCTGTGCCTGACATTATGCACATTTATAATTTTTTTTTGCCATATGAATAATGATTGCAAAGTTGTTTTATAAGCATTTCCCCATATATCCAGACATTAAGTAAAATACAGCAATATAAGAGAACAATACAGAATATTCAACACTCCTTGTTCCAGTATACGTCTTGCTTTGCCTAACACAGTAATACTCCTTGCTAATTTGGCTCTCACATGTGATTTCCAACAAATTTTACTGTCTAGAATTATGCCTAAATTAAATTTCATTTACAGTTTCAATGTTTTATGAGTTGGACTTGTATGTTCATTTTTGGATTGTCAAATATCATCCATAGAGAAAGCAGCTCTACCAAATGAGCCACCATATGGTCTAACTTAATACGCTTATTATACTGCTCCTCAGTATATTAATCACACATATTATGTTTTTAAAGAAATTACTCTGGGTCAATATTATATTCAAAACTACCCATGTTATGTCCTGATGCATGTGCAATAATCCAGGTAGAAAAATGTAACGCAATTAAGTCAGTTCCTATGTTATATTTATGTACTGCACTTCCCTATACAATAATCAGACCTTTTTTGAATTATCAGACCATATTCCTCCACTATTTCCTTTACTTACATTTATTACAGGAATCGTTGAGACATCTCTAGTTCTTGAAAATGTTTTATCACTAGCACCTTAGCTTCCTCTGGTGACCCTTTCAGCTTTATAAAATCGTTACATTTTGCTGTCCATGTTGCCTGGGCTTATTTTCTGTTTCCTTAGAAAGAGTGCCTGCCTAGCTATATCTGTATTTTTCTGAGTTAGATGCTCATTCACATATAAATAAAAAGTATTTGACAAGTGATATTTCTTGTGAATTTATACAAATTAAATCTGGGCTTTTGTTAAGTAGTAAATGCCATAGACTGTACATATAAATCACTTTTCTATCCAACCAGGATACTCAAACTGCTTTACAACACAAGGTGTGTCCTCATTTACCTCCACACATACATTCATACAGCACTCTACCACATCTCTACAAATCTGATCTGAATAAATCAGTATATAGTCTAAGCAGTACTTTAGATCACATTCATACAGATTGGACAATCAGAAGTAATGAGGAACCAAGTGTCTTGCCCAAGGGCACTTCAACATGTGTTTGCATAGTGGTGGACTCGAACCCCCAACTCACATTGGAAGACTACTGCTCTAACCATCCAGCCACAGTTGTCCATTTCTACAGAATGGAGCTGAGATCCACTATGATCAACATTTCATTTACCTCGTTACAATTTCTTATGTTCGTCTACAGCACCCCGGTACTTTCACATTGCACAGAGTGATGAAAGATTTGCCAGTCTGCCAAACATTTGTGTCTCCCCCCCACTTTGTGGATATTGTGTGCCGGAGTCAGCACTCCTGCTCTGAGCAAAAAATCCTGTCAACAGGTCAAAGGGGTCAGGCCTGGATCAAATCTGTATCACGCTAAAACTGACAAGTCCCAACAGCAGAGCTGTCAGTATGCCAGCTTTGGCACGGCTGTCAGTCAGCATGCATCGCCTGAGTCAGACACGAGCCACTCCTTCAGGTCAGCAAGGGGCTGCAAATCTGACACATCGTCATCACATCACATTTAGATAGCTGCTCCATGTTCAATGAGCAAAATGCCTTATTTTAACTTTCGTCGAAAGATTTGCTTATTTGTCAGGCAATTATTATTTTTCTTCTAGGATACTTTTATTACTATGTATAATTTTGCCATTGAGCAAAGTTGTCATTGTGCAGCTACTGGTAATTAAGTGAAAGATAGACTGATCTCCAGCAATAGCTTCAAGTTTGAGATTACCTTTGTAATTAAAGGTAGTTTTTGTTTGTTTTGTAAAATTCATTAATAAAAAAAAGTCTTACGCAAAGGTTTAGGCACTTTGTGAGACTTTAATTCTCTGATAAGCTGTACAAAGCTCTCAGATCCTAATTAGCTGGTCAGGACTGGCTTTCTCACCAGTGATGCAACTTTCTAAATCTGTCTAAAATCCCCTCAAACCTTGTCCCAAAACTGACATTCAAGGACTCTTCTAAGCAGCTGTTTATCAAGTGAAAATTTTACAAAAGTTATGTTCTGAAGGTGTGAAAGTGTGAACAGAAGATGACCTTTAGAGATTATCTTCTTAGTTTGTTGTTTGTAAAGTAATTGGGTGGAAGTGGACATCAATGTTTTAAAGAAAAAACTACTTGTAGAATTGCTTAAACATTGGGTCTGAACATGATGCGAGGTGCTACACTCAAAACTCCAACCTACTTTGTCTGGGACTACCTATTCTTGGTTTAGATATACACAAGGAAAGTATATTGCGCTTCTAGTTTAGTTCAAACTAAATCTAACCTCCTGATCTTTATCACCACCCAACTTCAACTTCACATCATGGTGCATTTTCTGCACTGAAAGCAGCAGAAAGTTTCAGACCTGCACGCGGCTATCGGGTCAACAAACATTTCTTGAAGAGTTGCAGTGTAATAATGGCAGTTAGCATATTTTCGTTTACTTTACTTTCGTTTAAATACGTTTTCATTACTCTCCGCAATGTTTCAAACTCAACAAATGACAAATTCAGTGTCCTTATGAAAAATAATCTAATTTCATTACAAGAAATGCCTAAAATTATGCAGGGGAATGGCCTTTTACTTATGTCACTAACTTTTTACCTTTCCTTCCCAGGTAACCTTCAGGTCATTAGATGGCAAGCCAATGGCCATCTGCCAAGTGAATGTGGAGCCAACACCCCACGTTGTGGACCAAACTTTCAGACTTTACCACCCAGAACTTTGTTTCCTGAAGAAGGCAATCCGCCTGCCACCATGGGATGACCCCACAGGTTGGCATGCCCCAAGTATTCATCAGTATCCATTATTTCCAGTTCCATGGGTTCAATTTGCACATTCCTAACAAAGTCTAGATTGGATAGTTCTGCATATATAAAGTTTGTTACCAACATAGAAAGAATCTAGAACAAAGCAAAAAAAAAAAAAAAATTCACTTAATACTTTTACTATTTGTGGGTTATCCAACAGAAGACCCAAATTCCAGGACTCATATTTCTGTTCGCTGCAGTGACCCTAATATCATCTGCCAGACAAGGATGCTGGTAAGATCAAGTATTATTTTCTTGCATATCTCAGCTGTTATTATAAATGTCTCACAGTAGCATTAGCAGGAAATGTTAAGTTAAGTGGAAAGTACTTCATTGTGTTGCAACTTTCCAAGCAGGACTTGTAACGTGGTTTATTCCTTCAACATTTATGTGACAAATGTGTTTTTATATTATAGGTTGTTTTGCCGCTTTATTGTATTATTTTTCTCTCATTTATTGTGTTTTTATGTAGGTGCCAGGAGAGCCACAGGATGTGTACTTGAAAGTGCCTGGGAGTCCCAGTCCACATATAAAGATGTTCTTTGTAATGGTCTTCGTGTATGTATCGTACCGCTTAGGGTACACTGACCACACGTAGAGCTGAGCCTCAAGAAACATTTAGTTTGGCCAATTAAAATCTTGATGCACACTTACATTATCTGACTAGAATTTAAGATAGATTGGTGGTTTGTATGCCAGAAACGAGAGAATTCCATTTTGTGACCATGCTGCACCAGTGTTTGTTTATTTAGACATGTCAGTTTCATTATTCAACCTAAATTTCATGAAATCGTTTTGCTTATGACTGGTTTGTATGTATATTTTGTCTTTTGAAACAAAAGTCTTGATTATAACGAGACTGGTAAACTAGCTTATAAATTATACAGTTTGTTTTTACGTACTTTTATGTTACTATTGTTTTCCGTTCATTTGTGAGCAGAGATTTGGTTGCACATGAAAAACGCACCATTTTGCGCAACATAGAAGCTACTACTTGCAGTCAGTAACTCAAGGACATTCAAATGTATCCTGTAAGTGTGGCTCAGGTGGTAAAGAAGACTTGTGGTTTGTGGTGCAGTCATCAGCATCTGTTTTTCACATGTAGAAATATCCTTAAAGTATATTAAGAGCACTTGCACGTTGCTCCCAATGGCAGGTGCAAGCTACATCATTGTGTGAAACCAGAAGATTAAAACAGCACAAAAACTGTAAATCACTTCTTAAACACCTACTGTAAAAATCCATCACTTACACATTTTTTTATTTATCAATCACTTACACATTTTTTTTTAATTTATCATAAGAGTTATTCATCGGTGTGCACAGGGAATGATCCCATTAGCACCACAGCAGGCTTTAAGTATGTAGCTATGCTGGTGCAGTTATTAAAACAAATTACCAGTTAATCAAATTACCAACATCTGATATCATGCTGTAAGTTTGGAGGTTTTAGGATCTCTGATTTCTCAAACATACCAGAAAATCATTAGCAACAATTACTACAAAGCATTTCTGGAAAATCTAATGCAGTTCAGTTCAGGGTGCATTTGCTCCTTATCTAAGATTATCACTTAGCAGCTTTAAATGTTATTGTTCTGTATGTTCTCATAGCCCACATCATCTCAGTTTTATTGCAAATATCCCCAAAGGCTCCTTGAGAGTTGTTGTATCTGAGCAGAGCTGAGTAGGTGACTACACTTCATGCTCTTCAAGTCAGCTCAGGCCTCTGAGGTTCTGTTGTCTTCACTTGAGCAGTCAGTGGACGCTCATGAGCTTTCAGCTTGTTAAAATGCTAGTACAGCCATAGATTAGATTTTCTTTTTTCCAACCTCTTTCAGCACCTGCTGCATCTCATACAAGCCTTAGCTTAATTGTTCTTAACTATAATCTTGTCTCTTTTTGTGTGTGTGTGTGTAGTGATAAGTGGATGGCAGTGCCTTCCCAGGTCTGGCAGATTTACGTGCATTTTCTGGAGCGGGTGGACGTGAGCTGTGTCACTGGCCAGCGGAGCTGTCAGTCACTTGTTCTGAGAGGAAAGCAAACTATTCGCAAGATTAAATGTTTCTCGTCACACCCTCAGGAAATTGAGGTACTACAAAGCACATCCCATGTGTTGAAAATGCAAATATAAGGAGTTGGTTTTATGAAAAGAACTTAATCGAGTGGTTCTTGTTGCAGTTTGACAAAAGCCTTAAAAAATAATTTGTTTCAGCTGTTGGTACAAAACAGTTGTACTGGTATGATAGCCATATTTATTCACATTTTTTATAAGCCACTGCTTTTTCCAATCCAAGAACTGAATTTATTAAATGATTCTGTGTGAGTTTTCTTCAGCACCAGCTTGATTTCTGGGTTTCAAAGTCACCAAGTATTGCTGAAAGTTTCTCTTTTTTGCTACAACTCATCACAACAATTTTAGACTTGACACTGAAGCCCTTTGACTTTTTGTGTGTTTTTGTATGTGAACACCACCTCGTTTGAGTGATGGACTAGAACCATCAAGCTAAGGAAAAACTGGTTTAAAAAACAACTTTTGGCCAAAACAAAAGATAAGAAATTCATTGTGATTTGCCACTGGTCCCCTCCTATATACACTAGATTTGTGGAAGTTTGGTTGAGTGGTTGTTGAGAAAAGTAGAGAACTGTCACACTAACACACTTTGATGGAGAGTTCTGTTTAATTTTTCATGACTGTCTGCGGCAGTGGAAGTCTAGTTAGAAAAGCCAGAATTATAGCAGTACAATAAAACACATACGTCTTGTTTAGAGTTAACTTCAAAATAGATCAAGAGCTGGCAAACAACGCTGTAGTCAAAGCTGGTATGCATTGTGTTGTGTCCTCTCCATCACCTGCATTCTGTCACTCTCTTTTTCCCCCTCTTTACATAACATCTAGACATGTGGCAAAGAATCACCGAGTGCATTTTGAGTTTAACTGCACTTTTTAAAATATTTGAAAATGTCTTGTTGCTTCTAAAATTAACTTAGACTCCAAGAGGCCCCATTCCTTCTCTTTCCTGACCTTATTGTTAACTGAGCAAAGCACAGTGGATAAGCAAGAAAGCAAATGCTAAAATTGAGCTTAACCATTCAAACTACTCATATATATCCAGTGTCACAAGAACAGAATACCCAGAGCGCAAGGACTAGTGATGAACAACTCAGACACAATAGTATCGATTCAGTGCTTTTATTTACAGTGAGTACTATTTCAGGATGAAACAGGAATCCTGGGAAGCAAGGAGATGGGTCAGGTCTGGAGTCCAACAAAGGGGTTTTACTAAGAACATGCAGGTTCCTGACTGGTAGATGTTGGTATGATGTAGGGTTCCAAAATCCTGTACAATCATGAGAAGATCCAAAGTGCTCAGAAGGGGTTGAAGGGCGAGGTGAGCAGCTGAAGGTGCACAGTTAAGGTTTCCAGGGGTTCACGAGGAGATCCAAATACTAAGGTAGGTCTCAGGAGGTTCACTGGAAAGGTCACAGGAGAAGGGTAAGCAATCACAAAGCTTAGAGATACACAAAGGGCTTAGAGCATGAACCATAAACAGGGTAATGCTCCAGCGTCGAAGGAGAGTCATCATCTGCCTTATATACGCCTGGACCTCATCAAGGCACATTGTCTGCAGGTGTTGAAGTATAGCGCCCCCTGGTGACCAAAGACAGTCATGGAACAGGAACTCTCAGTCTTATCTTTCAGAATGAGCAGTTTTCAGACTGCATATGCAAAAATGTTTTCTGCTAATTGTTTTAGCAACATGAACCGATGAACTTGCAGCAGTGGTCTTTGTAGCAACTCCATCTTGGCATTAAAGTCATGATTAGAAATATATAAATGTGTTCTGACAGCATGTTTCTTTAATGACATCTAATTCCATGTTTCTCTGTTATTGTACTTGCACTCATTTTGACACATAAAATTTACCTTAGTTATCTGAAAACATGGAAATAAGCCCCATAAATATAATTGTCTTCTCCGTTTAATAGTTTAGTATTCAAAACTAAAACAAGTAAAAGGAAATGTTAGCGGAGCTTCTCGCTCAGTATTGCAGTAAAATATTTTGTGATACTCGCATAAAAAAAAAAAGAAAAGACTGTCACAGTTTCTGTGTGCGCACTGTACGACCCAAACATGTTTACCCTGTAGAAATAGGGTAGCGTCTGAAAAAGTGACAGATGTATTTTTCAAAGAGTTCACCGTATGCATCAGTGGCAGCTTTGATCTGACTCTCAGCAGGTTTGGCTCACAGTGGAATGCATTGGAGGAGTCTTACAAAACAGGATAAAGCTCAGCTTCAGAGAATAGCTTTGCTTTTCTCAACAGATTGAAAAAGAGCTGCACAGTAAATCTCAGTCTCATCCTCGTGCCTGTCACTTTTCTGCCTCTACGTTCTCTTGTTTCATTGTCTGCCCCTTCTCTTTACCTTTTATTCACCAAGTCTCATTCATCCCATCTCTCACCCTGAACACCTTCTTTACTTTCCCCTTTAAAAACACCCTTTCATATTAGCCCTGTCCTTTATCACCTCTTCTCTTCCTTTTTGTGTCTAACTTTTTCTGTCACTCGTTCAGTAACTCCATTTTCCTTTTATTGTGTCGTCCTCATTCTCATGACCCACCCAATCAGCAGTGTTTCATCACCTTGCTGACAAATCCACTAAACCTTTATTGCCCTCATCTTCTCTGCAGGTGGACCCAGCTGGCATGTTTGTTTTGCCTCCTGCAGCTGTGCAGGAGCTCCAGTTAAGGGTCCAACCATGGCGGGCGGGTAGCCGCTTCTTATATTTAAATGCAGTAGATATGGATCAACAAAGGCTGGTCACTGCTTGGCTTATATGTCTTAATGTCCACCGTCCAGTTCTGTCCAAGGTAGGATTCTTCTGTCTACGCTACACAGAAATCTGTATGTCTGATTTCAGTATGTTCTATTTGCAGTATGTCAATTTCTGAGGCTATAAATAATTCATGTGGTATTTTTTAGTCAAACGAGTGAGATCTCACTCAGGACACACTGAACATGGGCCTCAGTCTCGTTGGTGAAACTCATGCAACATATTATCAGCATCCATTTCAATCTGCTGATACAGACTTTTGCCCCATAACAAGAAAACGTGATAAACTGTACAATTCATACTGAGATTAGTGCTTCTATTACACGCTTTGCTGGATAGCAGGTCGTTTTTCACTGTGTCAGTAGCAAGATGACTGTGTTAACTTGGTGCCCGCGGGGGCCTGCTTGAACACCAGACTATGCTTTCTGCTTCCCGTCTACTTGACATGTGCCTCACTTATAAACAATTTCTTTATTATTTTATTTTGCTGACTGCAAAACATGAACTATGTCTTTGCACAAAGTGCTTTAAAGTACAAGGACTTTTTTTTTTTTTGCTATTTCAGGTGAACAGACTGTAAAACTTGTACAGGGAAACATGTTGTCATTGGCTCTCCTTGTTTCTCATGTTTTGCTGTTTGTCACACATTTGAAAAAAAAAAAAAAACTTGTGATAAATGGACTGTACTTATAAAGCGCCTTTCTATCTTATCAAGATACTCAAAGCTTTTTACAACACATTCTGTGCCCTCATTTACCCATTCATGCAGCACTCTATTATGTATCTTTACAAAGATTAAATCAGTTCTTTATCACATTCATACACTGATGGGACACAGAGGCAATGAGGGGTTCAGTGTCTTGCCCAGGGACACTTCAGCATGTGACTGCTGGTGGAATCGAACCCTCAACTCTTGCATTAGAGGACGACTGCTCTAATCACTCAGCCACAGCCCCTCATGATAAAGATTTTATTGAAGCAAATAGTAATCTAATCAACACATAATAATAACAATAATAATAATACATTTTATTTGAAGGCGCCTTTCAAATCACTCAAGGTCACCGAACTAGAAATACAAAGATAAAAACAATAAAAGACAGATATCAATAAAATCAAAACACAATGAACGGTAGAAAACATAATGACATTAAACAGAACAAGCAAGTTTGAAAAAGTGAGTTTTAAAGGTTAGATTTAAATAAGGGCAGAGAATCAGAATTACAGATGTGGTGTGGAATAGAGTTCCAGAGGCGAGGGGCTTTGCAGGAGAAGGCTCTGGAGCCCATGGTTGTCATGTGGGCAGGAGGGGTAATGTAACATGACATTACTTAAAATCATTCTGTACCATTTTCTTACGGACTTTGTAGCCGATAAAAGTTTCAAGTTGGGATTATTAACTTTTTTAAGTATTTGACATGGGGATCTTTGTAACTAAACACGTTTAACAAACTGTGTGTGTGCGCAGGCATTTGAAGTGTGTGTCCCAGTTAGTGGTGGCCGTGGCAGCTCCAGGAAGATCACTTACACCAACCCTTACACCAGAAGTCACACATTTGTGCTCCGCTCGGACCACCCGGACCTGCTCCAGTTCAAAGAGGATAAATTTCAGGTGAGATAAGATAACGGGTTATACAGTTCTCTTTCTCCTGAAACTAAAATCAATACTGTGATTAACACCTTGGAGAACACTCGTCGGATAGTTTCCTTAGATTAAGGGCATCTGTTTTGTGAACACAGTGTAAATAACGTCACTAATATAAGTTTTAATGACAGTAAAATGTTTTAACCATAAATGACCGTGAAATTAGCCACTGCATGCGTCAGTCTCCATGCACTGGACAAATGACATCCTGTTAGACCTTGAGAACATTTTCACTAACCTACTGATTGTTAAGGCTTTACTAGAAGTTGTAAAACATGTTCTTACTCCTAATAAACACATGAGGGACTTAGTGCGAGAGCATGAAATCTTAACTGTTCACCCCTCAGCTGTTATGAGATTTTAGCTCTCAGCTCAGTTTGCGTGTAAATATAATAAACCTGTGACTGCTGCTGCTCTTTATTAGTCGTGCTATCGGCTGCAGTGTCTCCAGTTCCTTTTCTGCCGTAAAAACTGGAGATGATGTCGTCATTTCCAGTTATCTGAAAAATAGTAAAACAAATGAGAGATCATCATTTGAAGAAATAGATGTAGGAGATGCAAAAGGGGGCTTGTTTGCACATAAACAATTCAGGAGTCGTGCTGTGTTTGGCCTGAGGACACCGCATCATTAGGAAGGAGGTGGGCAGGAGGAAGAAACGGCCCTCTCTCTTTTTCCCACCTTGTCAGTGAGTCTCCAGGTATCTCAAAGATTCTGTGCCTGTAGCATTATACAAATGTGGACACCGCTTTCTCCCTTTTTGACTCAAACACACAAGCTGTCAAGAGACAAAGAAGGAAAACAAGATCAATACCGCTTTGTTTTAGGGATTATTGCACTATAAACTCTAGATCGACCCATGTTTTCACTTTGGCTATTAAAAAGAAAAAATATAACAAATATCAGGTAGACATTTGTTGTCTAATTGAAATATTGTGAAAATAAATAACAATATAACGTGTTTTCTTGCAGGCTATGGGCACTGGCAACAAAGCATTGTAACATTCAGCACTTTTCTTACCTCAATTAGAGAGAAATAATCCAAATTGCAGACGTCATGGAGAATCTGGCAATTTATACTCAAATAAAAGAAAAATAAGACTGCAGCGTCAGGGGGTTAAAACAACAGTGAAAATATTTCGTCTTACCTTCTGTATTTATTTTTATATTTCAGACAGTGTCTAATTAGATTGGAAAACTCTAAATGTTGTGTAGAAAAGTTAAACTATTTTAATGTAAATGACATTGTAGTGCAAAACATTTACTTTTATATGAAACACTTGAATAAATATCGATTTATGAGTTCTGCATAAAAACGTGACTTGTCTAAGATGTTAGACTCTTCCATAAAGCTGATATAACTTGTTTATATGTCTTGCTATGACTAAGTTTATTGATCATAAGCTTTTTGTTTTTACATGTGGCAACATAAGTCTTTTAATGCTGGTCAATTTGCTCAAAGCTTATTGAGCTTCTGGGTCTTATTTGCTTCACAGTGTTTATTAAAATCAAACCCATGAGTCCATGGCATCGCATCAAAGCTGGAAGAATTATTGACTGCACGTACTGCTGACAGGCCTCTATAATAATGTAAACAAAGCACTGTGAAGCAAATGCTAGCATTTAAAGGTTGAATGCCTCATTCCAGAGAAAGACTAATGGCTTGTGAGCTGAATGGCCAAACAAACACTCCTCCCCACAGTTCTCTTTCAGAAACTGATAAACATGTTACCAAGACAACAACATTAGGAAAAAGCAATAACTACACGTTGGAATATAGACCTATTGCTTAGCTAATAAGAAAACTAACTTTCCCAGGCATAATGTTTAAATAGGTTTCAATTCGAATAATGCCACTGTGACAGAAAACGTCTAAGTGGCTCTAAAACTCTTTGCATTTCCTGTTCAGGTTAAAGGCCTAGCGTAGCCCTTTCATGTTGCTCGCTGTATTTTATACCAGAAATATAAACTAGGATCATCTTATGTTGAGAAATGATAGAGTTGTAGCCATTTGTGAAAACAATATACACATTATTTTTAGTTGTAGCTCTACATCCAATAATTATTTTCTGAGAAGTTTAATAAAATCTATGTTGTTAATCATAAAATTAACTACGTTTGAGTCAATTTTTTTTCCCCTATATTCTGTTGGTTGTGATGGACATCTTGAATTGGATGTCAATACTTTTTTTTTTTTTTTAGAAAGCTTTATTACATTTTATTCAGTTGGTCATGATATTTTGCTAACAGAGAACTAGCTTTAATTGTTAATGGCTGCTTTAAACACCAAACTCAAGCGACCAGGTCTTGACTATTAACACGTCCAATTTTAGACCCATATTTGTTAAACTGACTGTCCTAGCCATTTATGTTTGCTAAAATTGCTTTGCTGTGGCACCCATCTTATAAATGGAGTTGATCTGTTGCAATTTTCTTTTTCTGAGAGAGAACAGAACAACATTGAAACACAAAGCATTCAGAGTTCGTTGTGTTTCCTGCCTTCAGATTGGTGGTGGAGAGAGTTACACCATCGGGTTGCGATTCGCTCCCAGCCAGAGTCCAGGCTCCGCAGAGATCCTCGTCTACGTGAACAACCTGGAGGAGAAAACAGAGGAGACCTTCTGTGTGAAAGTCAACTATTCATGAGCAGCAGTGGGGAGAACGTTGACCAAACTGGATTTCAACTGCGAATGCAAAATGTTCTCAGTTGAATTGGAATTGGAATTATCCTGCATTTTTATTCTCAGTGGTGAAAATTTTGTATTAGACTTTCAATAAATCTAATTTTACTGTACATCATATGTTTTTTGTTTTGTTTTGTTTTAAGACAGTAGTTGTTTCTGTACTGTATAAATAAGTAGTATGAATGGAGTGGAAGTTTGCTAGCTTGGTTGTTTGTTCTATTTTTTCTATAAATGTTAAGACAGTTTTCACTTAGTAAAACAGTAACTAAAAGGATGTGCATTGGCAAAGCATTGGCAACTTCTGAGGTCGAGCTCCAAGCTGTGCACCTAAATGTCCAGCAAATATTTGAAAGTCTAAAACAAACTAATTCAAATGTGAAAAAAAAAAAACCCAACAATTTCTTCTTCCATTATTGCCCAGCAATCCTCCTTTGAATGCCATGTTGTGGATTAGCTTTTGTCTAAGACCAGCCAGGGGTTCACCCTTTGCATCTCCCCACTTTCTAAACAACTTATCTTCATCATTTGCATTATTGGAAGCAGTGCCGTAATGAGGTATGATGTTTTTTCAAGAGGCACACGTCTCTTCACATCGCCCTCATTAACACCAGCACCCTTTTAAACCCTCCGCACCCTCCCTGCTGCTCGCTGCGCTCTGCGTTTCCCTGTTTGAGGTGCTTAGAGACAGAAAGAGAAGGCCATGCATATTGTGTTATATAACAGAGTTACACAATCCCTCCACTCCCCCACGCTCCCTCCCTGTTCGTTTTCAATCTCATTAGAATGCAGGCTGTAAAATAAGCCTCAGCACAGCAGCAAAGCCAAATAAAACAAAGACAGTCACTAAGCGTGGTGCGCTTCATATTTACCATCTAACATCTTGTCAGAGGCAGATGCCTCACTGTCTTCTATGTTTCATGTTACAACCAGCTTACAAAGATACACTTCAAAGCTTTATACACTTCATTATTTGTCTCCCATACCCTCTGATATTCTGCTACAATGCTAAGTGATGTCTTGGCTGTCTTTGTACAGTTGGCTGCCAGAATGGCTTTAGATTGATTTGTTCCTAAACTTTATCATAATACAAAACCCAAATGTTCTATGTGTGGGTTATTTATAAATCCTGTTCATGGTGGCCCTGATGTAAATCCTTTATTGAATGACCACTTTTAATTAATAGAACAACATTCAAAGTATACACTCCGTTTCAAAATATATTGTCAAGTTAAACTGAAGCAAAAACTGCAGTTTAGTTGTAAATTTGAAACTTTTTTGGATAATGCTCCTTTTGTGTTTTCATCAAATCATTGAACCTCCTGATAATCAATGTAAATGGTAAACCTGCAGGGAAGGATAATTACTGTGTGATTAGACCAAACACACCCACAGAGTGTAAGATTTTATATTAAATGTTTTTACTTCAAGCCGCACTAAATGATATGGGCTCTAAAAAGACACACGCATTCATTGTTTTCCTATCGTACTATAATGCGGTGTGTTGTCATCGTATGTTCCTACACCATGACGAAATTAGTTCTCTGCATTTAAACCATCGCAACTGGGATACACCCAGGTGGAGCAGTGGGCAGCTACTGTATGTAAGCACCCGGGAAGCAATTGGGGATTGGGTGTCTTGCTCAGAGACACCACGACATGTGGGAACGCCTGGAAGTCGAACCGCAACTTTCTGGTCCCAAGTCGGCAGCCCTACCCTGTGCCTACTGGCATTACTCCTTTATGAATCAGAATTTTTGAAACTTTAAATTTCATCACAAAATCAACTTGATTTCAGTTTTTGTGTTCTTGCTATTAAAACACAACGTATGACTTATTTTGTGTTTATTTTTTATATAAATTTGTTCAGTTTTAGTCTCACACTTGTGGAGCATTATACAGGTCCAATTTGTTTTTCCAGTAGTACAGTAATCCCGCGATCATCACATGGTTTACAGTCCAAACACCCTCATGACAGGTGAAAATTCACAAAGTAGAAACACTATATTTATTTGAGTATATATATATATTTTTTTTTAAATTAATTAATTAATTTATTTATTTATTAGGGCTTTATAAACCCTTCCCACACTCTTGCAATGTTCTAACCTTTAAACCTATGTAATTTTAACAACATAGATATATGTACTGTACATTACTGCAAAATTGTAATAATAATTTATTCAATTTGTACTGCACTTTACGTTTTGCAGTCTCAAAGTACTCACCAGCTCTGCAGAACAGTAGCTCAGTTCCAGTCAGTCGGGCTTTGTTCCGGTTTTGCAGACCTACACTTCAGCGACCAAGCTCACCACCCCATGTAGGCTTATTGTAAGAAAACTACAAAATGGCAGCACATGTCCAATGTTTGTTTTTTTGTTAGCTTTTTATCTCGTACCATCCCGTGAGTACCATAATATTAAAGTTGACAATTGTTGGAAAACCGCAAAAGAGCGAGTCCGCAAAAGTCAAACCTCAAATAAGCAAAGGACATCTGTAGTTACAAATGGAAGAACAAAAGCTCAAGTCCTTATTGATCCTGGGTGATTTTTCTTTTAAAGTTTTTTTTTTTCCCTTGGGTCATGAGGACTGTGCATCTCATTTATGTAAGCATGCTTGATGGTTATCATTTTTGTTCTTATTGGTGAAAATGGACTTACCGGTAGTCCATTTTCCAAACCTGTTCTTTAAATGGCAGCACCAGTGTGTAAGAATTGATTTAACTATTCTAAAAAGGTGGAAACAGTAGCAGCTCTTCTGTTTCCATGGACTACTGCCTGGACGTGCAAGAGATTTTTTGCTGCCATCTATCCCAATTGGAGGCAAATAACACACAGTGTCACCTGCAGCAATCAGACACTGTTTTCTGTTGTAGCTTTACTTTGCGTGAAAATCTTGCTTGTTGTGGTTTTAATATCAGGATCCAGGTCTTTGCAGCGGCGCCCAGGGTGAGCTGCGTGGTCATTCTCTCAGCAAGGGGCAGAGTTGAGCTGACACCTTATTAGCAGTGCCAGTCTGGTTGTTATCGGTTCCTCCTGAAGAAGCAGACACCCGCCACAACAGCTCGCAGCGTCTGCTCACCTTGTTAGTGTGGTTAGACGGCTCCTGTCTAGCTGTCCATTGGAGGAGGTGCCTTGATATTTAGCTGGGTGAAAGCATGACTGTTGTGGCTCTGATTTGAGGAAAATCACAGCTACACATGGTATCAGTGTTCAGAGTGATCCTCTTGTGTGTGTTGGTGCCTAACCTGAGCCATGTGAGTGGGTGCATGTCTGTGAAAGCATACAGCAATGTGCGTGTCAAAGAGGTTTGAAACTGAAGGAATATGCTACCTAGCAACCGGTCCTCCTCCTCATGTACAGTGCACCACTGGTTTAGCTCGTCTCTCTTCCAGAGTGGAGAGATGGTTAATATTACTGCAAAACATTCCAAACTTTTACAGCAAGTTGGTGGTTTTGCCAGTGAAAATGTGTACAAAAATTACAGCTCCAATGAAATGTGAGAAGGAGCTTGTGCTCAAAAGAAACATATTTACCCTGTTACCCGTCTCAGCAGGACCCACTACTGTAGAGCACGAAAGGAACGAGTCGGCTGAGGGGGCTTCTCTGTTTTCGTTGCTGCATCCAGCTTGGGAACTGGTCTCAGCAGATGGCAGCCTTTCACATAAAACCAGTTCATAATCTCTTTTCACTCATAATTCCTCTAAGGCTAAGGGAAATCAAATAATATGTAAAATTTCACCTCAGTTTTGATATATTCATTACAGTAAGACCAATACTCTTACGTTTTCTGCACTTTATTTTGTTTTCCACAAACTATTTTTACTAATACAAAAATGACTGTTTGAGACTGTTACAAAATCTCAACTTCAGTGTTTTTTTTTGTTTGTTTGTTTGTTTATCAGTGTAGCAATGGGCCGTTTTGGCAAGTATAGTACTTTAAATTGATGCATGATTATTTCCAGCATATACTATTTATTATTTTATTTTATCCTTCTTTCGGTTGCTCCCTTCTTCAGGGGTCACCACAGTGAACTAACTCGCTTGAAGACTTGGCTATTGTTTTAACACCGGATGCCCTTCCTGACGCAACCATAGACCACTGAGCTTAGGACCTTGCTCAAGTGCCCAGAATGGGGCACTGAAGGGCAATGAGGGTGGAGGCAGGTGTCGGTGCTTCAGCTTTTCCACCCACATTTTGATGTTGTTGGTCTGAAAAGTTTCAGACTCAATTGCTTAGCGAACTGAACCGTAAATTGGATGTGATTTCTGAGAATCACAGGCCATTTGCGGCCCCTAGGATTCGCTGGCAGGATGGATCAGATCTCGGGGGAATATTCTCAGGCACGGACCAGCGGTGTCCCCACTTAATTTGGACTTTCGGAATCTACGCGAGACCAGGAAAGACTCAAGGCAGATGAAATTCAGTAAAGTTCTGCCTGTCTCCAAAACAAATGTTTATCTGAATTTGGCTCCCTCGGCTGGCCTTGACAAGCCACCTTATCTCAATTTGCCTGGAGGCTCTGTAAATCTGATGCTCTGCTCCCTCCCCTCCCACAGAGGAAGTCTATCAGGGGGAAACTGGCTGAGTAAACATTGTGTCATCATTTCAGGACTCTTGGATTCTCACTGGCGCTGTCCTTGGCCAAACTCGGCACTCCCCAAGAATGTTTACAGATCTCACCTGAGGAAACTGGCTGATTATTCCATCTCATCAGAACTCCTACATTGCCTTCGGGAGCACCCTTGGACATGATCACCACCCTTGCCATCTTTCCCTTCCCTGCGTAACGTCTAACTGACCATGTGCTTATGTGCGGAGTTGTTTTTTTTTTATTTCATGCTATCTCTCATTGGCCATTGAGAGAGAGCCTGTTAGGATTTTTTTCTTTTGCCTCCAAATCCTGTATGTTGTTACTTTCATAACTTTTTTGTCTGTCCAAACAGGTTTCACTTGTAAAGGAGCCTTCAAGGCTCAATGTGATTAATCTGTATACATAAAG